CAAATAGTGATATCTTGACTTCCTCCTTTCCAATTTGTATCCCTTTGATCTTCTTTTGTTGTCTAATTGCTCTGGCTAGGACTTTAAATACTATGTTGAATAGATAGGGGGAGAGTGGGCAGCCTTGTCTTGTCCCTGATTTTAATGGTATTGCTTTGAGTTTCTCTCTGTTTAGTTTGATGTTGGCTATTGGTTTGCTGTATATTGCTTTTATTATGTTTAGATATGGACCTTGAATTCCTGATTTCTCCAATACTTTTAACATGAAGGAGTGTTGTATTTTGTTAAAGGCTTTTTCAGCATCTAGTGAGATGATCATGTGTTTTTATTTTTCCTTTATATAGTGGATTACATTGATGAATTTCTATATATTGAACCAGCCCTATATTCCTGGGATGAAGCCTACTTGATCATGGTGAATGATCATTTTTATGAGTTTTTTTTGATTCGGTTTGTGAGAATTTTATTGAGTACATTTGCATCAATATTATTAAGGGAAATTGGTCTGAAGTTCTCTTTCTTTGCTGGGTCTTTACATGGTTTAGATATCAGCATGAACCTTGAGAAGTATTGGTATTAGGTCTTCTTTGAAGGTCTGATAGAATTCTTCACTAAAACCATCTGGTCCTGCACTTTTTTTGGTTGGGGAACTTCTAATGACAGATTCTATTTTGTTAGGGGTTATAGGACTGTTTAGATGCTTTGTTGATGCTGATTTAACTTTGGTACTTGGTATCTGTCTAGGAAATCATCTATTTCATCTAGATTTTCCAGTTTTGTTGCATATAGACTTTTGTAGTAGGATCTGATGATTTTTTGTGTTTCCTCAGTTTCTGTTTCTGTGATCTGACCATTGGTGAGACTGGGGTGATGAAGTCTCCCACTATTAGTGTGTGAGGTTCAGTGTGTGCTCTGAGCTTCAGTAACATATCCTTTACAGATGTGGCTGCCCTTGCATTTGGGGCATAGATATTAAAAATTGAGAGTTCACCAGGCAGTGGTGGTGTACACCTTTAATCCCAGCACTTGGGAGGCAGAGGCAGGCAGATTTCTGAGTTCGAGGCCAGCTTGGTCTACAGAGTGAGTTCCAGGACAGCCAGGGCTACACAGAGAAACTGTGTCTCAAACAAAACAAAACAAACAAACAAACAAACAAACAAAAAACCAACCAAACAAACAAGCAAACAAAAGAATTGAGAGTTCATCTTGGTGGATTTTTCTTTTGATGAGTATGTAAGTAGTGTTCCTCCCCATCTTTTTGATTACTTTTGGTTGAAAGTTTATTTTATTGGGTATTAATATGGCTACTCCAGCTTGCTTCTTGGGGCCATTTGCTTGAAAAATTTCTTTCCAGCCTTTTACTTTGAGGTAGTGTCTGTGTTTGTCACTGAGGTGTGTTTCCTTTATGCAGCAAAATGCTGGGTCCTGTTTGTGTATCCACTCTGTTAGCCTATGTCTTTTTATTGGAGAATTGAGTCCATTGATTTTGAGAGATATTAAGGACCAATGATTGTTGTTTCCTGTTATTTTTGTTGTTGGAGGTGGAATTATGTTTGTGTGGTTCTCTTCCTTTGGGTTTGTTGTGAGAGATTAATTTCTCAGTTTTCTTGTGTGTAATTTCCCTCATATTGTCATTCTGTTGTCCTCTTTAGAGCTGGATTAGTGGAAAGATATTGTTTAAATCTGGTTTTATTATGGAATATCTTGGTTTCTCCATCTATAGTAATTGAGAGTTTTCTGGGTATAGTAGCCTGGGCTGGCATTTTTGTTCTCTTATGACATCTGCCCAAGATTTTCTGGCTTTTAGAGTCTCTGCTGAAAAGTCTGGTGTAATTCTGATAGGTCTGTCTTTATGTGTTACTTGAACTTTTCCCCCATGCCTTCAATATCTTTCTTTTTCTGTGCATTTGGTGTTTTAACTATTATGTGATGGGAGGAATTTCTTTTCTGATCCCATCTGTTTGGTAGGCTTCTTGTATATTTATGGGCATCTCATTCTTTAGGTTAGGGAAGTTTTCTTATATAATCTTGTTGAAGATATTTGCTGGCCCTTTGAGTTTGGAATCTTCACTCTTTTGTAGTCCTATTATTCTTAGGTTTGGTCTTTTCATTGTGTCCTGGATTTTTTTTTGAATGTTTGAGTTAGGAGCTTTTTCTTTCTGTAATTTTTTTGTCTGTTGTGTATGGTATACATGGTATACCATATATATGATATACTGATTCATCCTTTTACAAAAACTATGTGCTCAACTCTATGGATAAAATCTTTCTTTCTTTAGTATATCATATATATATGGTATCTTCTATGCCTGAGATTCTCCCTTCTATCACTTGTATTCTGTTGATGATGCTTACATCTGTGACTCCTGCTCTCTTTCCTAGGTTGTCCATCTCCACGGTTGTCACCCTTTGTGTTTTCTTTAATGTTTCTATTTCCATTTTTAGATCCTGGATGGTTTTGTTCAATTCCCTCACCTGTTTGATTGTGTTTTCTTGTAATTCTTTAAGGGATTTTTGTGTTTCCTCTTTAAGGGCTTCTACCTGTTTACATGTGTTCTCCTGTATTTCTTTGAGGGGGTTATTTATGTTCTTCTTAATGTCCTTTATAATCTTCATGAGATGGAATTTTACATCTAAGTCTTGCTTCTCTGATGCGTTGGGGTATCCAATACTTGCTGTGGTGGGAGAAATGGGTTCTGATATTGCTAAGTAGTATTGGTTTCTGTGTAGGTTCTTGCACTTGCCTTTTGCCATCTGGTTATCTCTGGCTTAGCTGTCTCTGAATGGAGCATGTCCTTCCTGTGTGCCTGTGATCCTGTGATCCTGGATGTGTCAGAACTCCTGGGGTTCAAGCTGCATCTGGGTGTGGGCTGAGTGGGTGGGGATCTACTCCTGGTGCAGGTGCAAACTGGAAGAAGCCTGTACCTCTGGCTGGACAGGGTCCCTGCATCTCTGGGTCTTAGGGGTCTCAGTCATGCCAGGTATTGGGGCAGGGTTTGAGGTCTCACCTGTGATCCTGGATGTGTCAGAACACCTGGGGGGTCAAGCTGCATCTGGGTTGATTGTGTGGGGATACAGAGCACTAGCTCCTCTCAGGGCACAGGTGAAAACCAAAAGAAGCTTGAGTCTCTGGCTGGGCCATTAACAATCTTTATTATATATTAAGAAAATTAGTAGAAAAATGTTAGTAACAATATAATCTGCTTTATTTCAGATACATAATCTCAACAATTTTTGAGACTAATTAAAGAGAAAAGTAGTAAAAAGAATCTCATTTTGTTTATTGCTCACATTTTAGGTAACTTACCATTGTAAAAACAAGAAAAAAGAAAGGAAGAAAGGAAGAAAGGAAGAAAGGAAGAAAGGAATAAAGAAAGAAAGAAAGAAAGAAAGAAAGAAAGAAAGAAAGAAAGAAAGATTTTTATCCATAGAGTTGAGCACATAGTTTTTGTAAAAGGATGAATCAGTTGACAGTCAATCAATTAACAGTTCTCCTCTGGAAAAATTTTACATTAAAGGTAGGTAAAGGCGTCTATGGGAATGTCCACCAGAGATCATTTGTTACATTTCATTCTGTGTATACATTTGCATATACTTTTGAAAAATTCAAACCTATGGGTAGATCTTTCAAATGTGTAATAGCCATCGAATACATACTGTAGAATGACCTGAAAAAGTAGAGAGAAAGGAAGAAGTATTTGAGATAGTTGAAAGAAATTTCAGAACCTAGTGCCCTGTGATTAGGGATAGTAATATACAAAGGCCAGAAGAGATTCCTAGGTAGGGCTTTTGTTAAGGGCTTCTGATGCAGAGGAAAGAGAAAGCAGCATGGGAGTACCTGTGGCTACTGCCTCTGGGTTTGTGTGGAGACTGCTTTTAAAGGAAATTAAAATAGGAAGGGCATGTTTATTAAAGTAACGGAGAGTGAAGCTCAAGGAGGGGAGGAACATTCTTTTCTGGAAATACATGGAACACTTCCTGGAACTCAGGTACTTTCTCTTTTCCTTCCATTTTTAGTCTAATGTTTTTAGTCATGGTAACTAGGGAAGAGAGATTAGACAAACCTAGATTAAACTAACCACGAATTATAGCTTTGAATAAAACGTTCCTCACATGACCACCACATCTGCATTCATACTGAATAACTCTTGACCACAGATGAAAGTAGCAGATGATGAGACAGTGGAGCAGAGATGTCAAAACTTTCGTTTTCAACTTACATCAGATATTTGCAGGACCAAAACGTCAATGCAGGACCAAAACGTCAATGTTTTTTGGTTTTGTTGTTGTTGTTTTTTTTTTAACCAAAGTAGCCTTCCAATTAGTGCAAAATAATCTAGGAAACTTAATTATAATATACATATTAGAGATGTTATCTACAGAAAATCTGGTAGAAAACTAATGATATACTGTCCAACTAAGTAGCATCTAAAATTAGTGATTTTAAAGTCAACCAAGATAAATTAATCAAGGTAGCTTTATTTAGGTTTTCTCTGGTAAAAGTTCTGTCCTCTTACGTATTCTTAAATTTTGAGAGATTTAGGATTTATGTGTGCTCATTCAAGTGGCTACGTAAAATCCCAGCGATTGCAGTTGGTCTGGTCACAAAGACCTCCTAGTGTATCAACACCTTGGCCTTGCGGCATACTCTGGTATTTCATGACAAAACTATTCAAAGAGAAACGTACTCAGCTTTTGATGGTGCAAGGAATTTGTTTACTTTTGTCCTTTTATGGTTGCCCTGTGGACTCATTTTCTAATGAGTTAACAGTCACTTAGATTAATTTAGGAGCTCTGTGACAAAAGCATCAAGAATTTAATGGTTGTTGGTTTTTTTTTCCAGAGAATGACTTATAAGAGCCATAGTTTCAGTTTCCAGTGAGTAGTTTATTAACCATGCAGCAAGCAAAGGTGAAAGAGTAAATGGAAAGCAGAGGAGAAATAGCAAACCCTCATCAACTTGGGTAGAAATTGACTAGGGAAGTTCCTTGAGGCAGCCTGCTGGAGTATATGACTGAGAATCCCAGACAGAGCAGTGCTCCCTTGGGTTAGTACTCTAAGTAAAGAACCAATATAAAGTAGTGGATAGACAGCAAAACACCAAATCTTGTTCTTACAACATCCAGCAGAAATGACTGGGAAAGCACGGTTTAAACAGTCATGCTGGAGTACCTGACAAAGAACATTTTCTTCCCTGGGACAAGGAAGGGAAGAAGGGATTCTTCACTCTGATAGTCCACCCTCAACATGTACAAACAGCACATGACAGTTTACCAATATAATTTATAATGATGATGTACTTGTCTTCTATGGTATCGGTAAGATTATTGAGGAGAATTGGGTATATAGAATATATACCATACTTTTCGTGGCTGACAGGTCGTAAGTTCATCTTACGCCCTGAACATACATCTGCCGTTTATTCTATGTAGTACAGAAGGTAAAATATAAAACTCAAATTTATATTGAATGTGTAGTCTTGAGTTAATAACATGTCTTTTTCCTCTTTTAGAAGAGGCAGACCATTAGTACAATAACAGAAGTCTTGGCAGCATTGTTGTTTGTAATAATGTTGTTGATATTCCGTGCACTTACTGATATGAATGTTGCTGGACCGTATCATTTCACTCCTCAACGCATTGCTACCATGCCTTCTTTCATCAAAGATGCTCAGGAATGGGAATTGATTTACATACCTTCTGATATTGATGTGGTAACAGAAATCATTGAGGATGTAAAGAGGAATCTCAACACCACTATAAAAGGTTAGACATTGAAGTTTTTGGTAAAAACAAACAAACAAACAAACCTGCTACATCTATAAAAAATAATGCTAAAAATTGAGGTTAAGGTGGAATTTATGTCTTACTATTAAGAGTTGCGATGTGATAGTGGTAAGTAGGTCAGTGTGGAATTGGTGGAAAGATAGACAAATCAGTGACAGAAGAGAGAACCCAAAAGCAGATTGATTATACTAAGATGTCAGAATGACTTTGACAGTGATGTAGCAGACTATCATGAAAGAAAAACCTATTCAAAAAATAGCATGGGAACAATTGGGCACTAATAGCTAAAACCACAGAAATCCACATATTCTGCAAATTAACTAAAAATGAGTCATATACCTAAATGTGAAATGATGAAGCCTTTAAGAGAAAATGTGTGAGAAAATCTTTATAACTTAAATCCAGTTGATTCCTTAGACATGATGCAAAATTATGATGTGAGTTATTTGGACTCCTATTACCTAATACAGATGTGCCTGCTCTTGAAGTGAAAGCAGTCATCCTTTGTTTCTTACAGTTGATTTAAAACTACCTTACTGAAATTTCAAACACAGAGGTCCTTTAACATTTTCTCTTTAGGTTTTAGTTCTGTAGAAATTGGTTTGGGAATTTGGGTATTTGCTTTCTTGCTTGCTTGCAGTGCTGCAGATTGAACCTAGGGGTCTTATACAGCCTAGGCAAGCCTTCTGCTAGCTATGTCCTCAGCCCTGGAGCTTACAATTCTATATACACTAAAAACTACTTCAGCAATATTGTAACTCACACATATAGTCTTGAAAGTCAAGGAAAGCTGAAGTTTTTTCAAAGGGAAAAAGTTATTATTCTTTAAAAAGGGGGGGGGAGGTAGGGAAGATATAAAGTTTCAGCAGCTGCCCAGATGAGAAGAGATGGAGCCAGCAGGGAGGTCCCCTGTATGGTGGACAGCAGCTGCATGGTTAGAAGGAGCACTTTAGAGAGAGAATAAGCAATCCCAAAGTACAAACAGCAACAACAGCAAAGAACACATTTAGCTCTGGCCAGCATCAGAAAGAAACAAACAAAATGAGAGAGGGAGAGAGGAAAGAACAGGGAAGAGGGAGGTTAGGGGAGGATAGTTTTGCCTTTCGGATACTTATTCTACCTGTCTTGTTTTGTTTTGTTTTGTTTTGTTTTGTTTTGTTTTGTTTTGTTTTGTTTTAGTGTGACTTAAGGTGATTCTACCTTCCTAGGGGTGATCCTGGCTTCCTGAGGGGTGGTCTCTTGTCCAGGTCATAAACTCATCAAACTGGATTAACTCTTATGTTTTGGGTAGCTTGAAATGTTAGATCTCATGGAAATCTAGAAATACAGTTCCAAAGCTGGTACCAGTATCTGTACTGAAGTTCTAGTCCCCGCCCTCAGGTAGAACTTTGAGGTAGGGAAGGGGTACGCATTTAGAAGGAGATAAGAAACTAGATCTCAATTCTGGCAATCCTGGCCATGCTTTGTGTGGTCCCTGCCCTGAGTGTGACCTGTCCAGTTACTATCTCTTGTTCTTGTTACTCAGCTCTGAAGAAGTGACAGTAACTGCCATTAGGGAATTGGGATAATGACTGATCTGGCTGAATGGGGCATTGGGTGTGGCAGTTGGGATACCTCTCTGGTGAGCCTGTCTAAAAGATACCAGAGTCTTCAGATTTCTGTATTTCATTAAGATAATTTTTAAAAATAATTCTTAAATTTATTTTGAACATTTTTTCTTTCTTCTGCAACTAAAATGGCATGTACACTACATGCTTTGCATTTATCCATGTGTTGATGAGGTTGTGTTTAACTTCTAATCTTCATAATGCTGCTGAGGCTGGGGGATTTCATTGATCTGTCTCTACTGCTTTCTTCTCTATTACCATCAAACTCTTAACAAATGAGTTTGGCTTTATAAGGTTTAATTTGAAGTACTAGCCACTCCTTGTCTTTGCTTTTCTTTGAAACAGCTTTATATAACATCAAGAAATAAAATGTACCTCCCAGATATACTATATGTCTATTTAATGTATATGAGTCAGTGGATTTCAGTGTTCTTGGAGTGGTACAAGCATCATGACAATGGATTAGAGTCCACCTCCAAAGAAGCTTGTTCACAGTCTTGATCCCTACTCCATTAGGGAACACAAGAATGCTTCCTGTCCCTATAGACTGTCCTGGTTGGATGTACATTGTGCTGCGGGTTCATCTAACATCACACAACTTTTTATACTAAAAATTTATAAAATACTGAAAAGATTTTATACCTGAAAGATCCATTAATTACTCATGTCAATATTTAAGAAAAAAGGGTCATAGATTTCACAATATTTGTAATAGATTTTTTGTCTGTATAAAGTAGTATCTCACCTCACAAACAGAATTACTGGATGTTTTACTTAAGCAGACAATTTTGTCTCTGTAGTTCGGGGTTTTCCTACAGAAGCTGAATTTGAGGAGTACATTCTGTTTGATTATATGTCTCAGAGAGTACTGGCTGCTGTTGTTTTTGACTGTGGCTTCAAAAACAAAAATGATCCTCTGCCACTTCAGGTAAGAAAATTTTATTTAAGGTTTTCAAATAAGTAGTGTTCTTATAATAGTACCTTTAGCTTCTAGGATTTTTAATGAATTAATTACTCTTTACCCAATTTTGCAAATGGAGAAAGAATCATTCCTGAAACAAACTAATAATATGTAATAAAGCAAAAATACTAGCTCATTTCTGAGTGATTTAATGTCTTTGTATATATTACTGATTACAAGAGAATGTGATTTTTAAGTCTTCACTATCAGCTTGACTAGATTTAGAATCACCTAAGAAATCTAGGAGGGTAATTTTAGAAAGGGTGAACTAAAGGGAGAAGAACCACCCTAAATGTAGTGTCTCATGGGCTGTATAAGGGAAAGGAGAAAGCCAGAAGAGTCTTGTCATTTCACCTTTTCTGTTTCTTGACTACAGTGTGTACTACTCTGTTCTGCCATGCCTTTCTTTAGCATCTGAAACTAATTCAAAATAAATCTTTAGTCCTTGAAATGATTTCTGTCAGGTATTTGTGGTCACAGCAAAACACACACACACACACAAATATAGGCGAGAACTGTAGACTAAGGAAATCTTAATTAACCAGCATTTGTATTTCATGCATGGTGGTAAAGATATGTTTTAAGTCAGAGGTATTTTTATTGGTAAACAACTGAACTCAGAAATCCCTTCTTTGAATAAAAAACAATATAATTTCTTTCATAAATCTCCAGAAGACTTGTAGACTTAAATGTATCAATTCAACTGTATGGTATCAGAACTGAAGAGAAGCTGATGGAGTCTACAGAAAGATGAGGAAAGAGCAGTGCTTTGAGTTTGGAGTCCCTAGAAAATTTTATAGGCATCACATCCTGGTGGTTGTAGAAATAAGTGATCAGTCTGTAGCACCTAGATTTGAGCCACACCTACAGTTTCTAAAACAGGCCCTTATTGGAAGACAGAAGTAGGATCTGTATTATCTTAACATCGATCCCTTATTTTATGGCTCCATTCATCTATGCTAGCTTCCTTAGCATAAAGCTATATATCCATTGATGTGGATTTAGGTACATGTACATTAGCATACATTGGCCCAAAGTATCGTCCGTGTCATGTTAAGTTTCATTCTTGCTACCTACAGACTCTTCTCAAATCTCAAATTTTTGAATGAAATTTCCAATGCTAAAATTCTCATAGATTTTCTATAGTGCTTAGTCGATTTCTCTAAATGATATTGTTTCTCTAAAACTTTTTATTTATTTATTTATTTATTTATTTATTTATTTTATATGATTTGTGTGAGAGTGTAGGCACTTGGCCATGGCTACAGCATACATGTGGAGGTCAGGGGACAACTTTGGGGAATCAGTTCTCTCCTTCCCCTGTGGGTCTTGGAAATCAAACTTGGTTCTTCAGCACTTGCATAGCAAGTGCTTTTACTCACTGTGCCATCTTGACAGCCTTGTTTTGATGACTTTCTAAATGAATATTATAGCATTTGTTGATGTCATTTATAATATAAACTAACTAATAGATACCAGTTCTTTTCAGTTTAGTTTTCTGACAACATCTTTTGTTTTTCCATGTGAATATCATAGTCAACCTGTCCAACCTCAGATGAGATCATGTCACAAGACCGTAGTATGGGCAGGCGACATGGTTCCATAGGTAAAAGAGCTTGCCTTGAAAGCCTGACAAGTTGAGATTGACCCTTGGAATACATGGCAGGAGACAACTGACTCCTGAAAGTTATTCTCTGATCTCCACATGCAGGCCATGCCATGTATATACCTGTGCACTCACTCTCTCTCCTTTTTTCTCTCTCTCTCTCCCTGTCTTTTTCCCTTCCCTTCTCTTTCTTTCTTTCATCATTCATATGTGTGTGTGTGTGTGTATACATACATACATATATACACACACACGGTAGTAATAATATATTTTGAAAAAATAAATTTTAAAATTCTAGTGGCTTATGTAGGCTTTGGCATAAGATTTATAGTCATCCAGATGTGTCTCCATTCCCACATCTCCAATGCAGATACTACATATTAAAAAAGAATGGCAATTTCCCAGGCTACACCAAGCTACTCTCTTCCCCAGTAGGATAGCAGGCCAGTTCTTATCTTGTGGAGACTCTCTGACTCAGAGCTCCAAAATCTCTCCATCCAGCTTGCTAAGTTCCTGCTGGCAGGTTGCTACCACGCTATCCCCGTGCTTCAAACCCCCCATGGCCTTTGTGGTGCACATCTGGCAAGCCCATGCTTTGCCTCCATACCTTTCTTGAACCCAGGCGAGCCACTGCATGAAGGAAAACACAACACAAACTTAGTTCAGAAACAATGGTAACTCACTCACTGGGTGGAACAACTAGAACCCTAATCTTGTAAGTCATATTAAATCCAAATCTTCTGGTGGTGAATCCTTCCATTGAAACTGGGTGACAATAGTAGTTACATCTTGTCCTCACACTATCCCCATCCAAAAAGGGCCCTTTTTCTCTCCTGCTTCCTCTCTCCCCCTATCCAAGCTGGAAGTCCCTCCTACTCTACTCGCCCAGTTATTGGCTCCTTCATTAGGAGATGGTTTACAAGAAGTCAACTGAGTATGTGACTCACTCCTTGTCTGTAGTTCCTCCCAGGGGAGCAGAATTAACATCAAAATACAAACAGCACTAGGCCCATATACAACAGAAAAATACATATTGTGAGGTGCCCTGAGGAAATGCCTTATTTCATACCCACAGAACTCAACTGTCATTCACTGTCTAATAGCAGCCTTGGTTCTTCATATTAGTTGTGATTCGTTGTTCCCTCTCATAGTAGCTCCATCATTTGCTGGTGTACAACAGTGTCTCATTACCATGGGCAATCGTGGAATTCTCATGGGAATATGACTACTTTCCCTGTTGTAGTTAATTCCTCTAACCTATAAAAACAGGAGCTTAACTGAACAGAGCTTAAGATTATAGGGATGGAAGGTGTACATTTTACTCACAGATCATTACTTATAGAGAGTGAATTTTTTAAGGGCCAATTCAGCTTCTATGCCTTAGTTGTCATGCCCTCATGCTCTAGCTCTCAGAGCACAAGTCTGGGTGAGTTATTAGCTATGTGGACTGTATCCTATTCACTAGGACCCATGATAAAGACCAGATTCCTACTAAACTAATGCATTGAATGAGAATTTATTGCTTTGGGTTTTTCAAGACAGGATTTCTCTGTGTAAACCTGGCTGTCCTTGACACATCTATGTACACCAGGTTGGCCTTGAACTCAAAGATCTTCCTGTCTCTGCTTGCTGGGATGAAAGATGTGTGCCACCACACACACTAGCTGAGATTTGACAGGTCTTTTTCAGTTTCTCCCCTCAGGCTTACTGAGTGTTGAAAAAGGCCCATAGTTGAGTCCAGTGTCCAGTACCTTCTATAATATAAAACATGCCCCTTGCCTAAGGCAAGTTGTCTATACTCTGTACACCTGTGACTTCTTCATAGAATTTAGTAGTAGAAGCAATGATATGTCCTTAAACTCTGGTGAGTTTATACCAAAGAAAATTCTTTAATCAGTAAAGAGAAAAGTGTTGTATAGTAACAGAAATGCCTAAACATTTCCAGAAAATTATGCTAAGAAAAAATCCAAGACCTCCAAAATTAACAGCTGCTATTCCACTTAGATAAAAATTTTCAATAACAAACAGTTTTAAAGTGAAAAATAAACTTCTAATGTCTTGGGTCAGATAACCATTAAAAGGGGTGGGGCTAATGGAACTGTTCAGCATCTTCACTGTATTGATGGATATGGAAATTCCACATATAAGAAAACTTTGTGTACAACCTACAACAGACAGGCATATCTACAGAAACCTATTGACATACCTTACAAATTACAAATACATTTACTGAATTATATCAATATCTTCATCTTGCGTTTATATATTATATATGCCATTATAAATATAGACACATACATATATATGTATATATGTACATATATACACATACATATGCATACACACAATCTAAGCTTATACCAGATTTGTTGATTATTTCTTTAAACTTCATGTGAAGCTAAATTACCTTGAAATTTTCTATTAATTTAGAATGAGATCATGACTATACAGGGATTTTATACATTTGTTGTGATTTTTTCCTACTGAGTATTATATTTTAATGATGACTTATAGATTTGTTTTAATATATCAGAAGCTTTCCATCTTATTAAACAAATCTGTTCTGTATAGCAAGCCTTGATTGAAGAGTTTTTATTTTCAAAAATTAAACTTAAGAAAATGAATCATGAAAACATAGTGTTTAAAGAAATTATTTATAAAGCATATTTGTGATAATATACTAATATCCAAAAATGTCCTGTAACTCAATAATAAAAATTTTAATTTTGGGACTGTTTGTAAAATTAAACAATGAGATACTGCTATCAAACACATGCATCATATAATATATATTAACATATTTATTTCCTGCTTTTATTCCCTAATCTGAACTCTATCACTGTTTCCCAACATTGTCAGCTGAATGATGTCTCTGCATTCTTTTTTCTTTTAGTTAGTGGACATGGTTTCTGTTTTTTCCTATATCTTGAACAGTTGTATATCATTCTGTTATACACAGGTGTCATGGTTTTATCCATCTCATATATTGCAATTAAGTTAATTCTTATACATTTAGACCACAGACAACATTATAACAAGCTTGCTGTTCAAAATTAATTTATAATTCAAGATTATTCAAATCTGTTTCTTTAAAAAGTATTTCTGGGCCGCACAGAGAAAAACCCTGTCTCAAAAAACAAAAACAAAAAACAAAAAGTATTTCTGAGTTGATCAGTAATTGACTGATGTGGTTTCAGAGATTGTTGTGGATTAACTCATTAAAATATAATAGCAGTTGGAACAGAATTAGGAGGTAATCAGGTCATGAGGGCAGCCCCCTTTTGGGTCTTTACTTCTTTGTATTTTGCCAGTATAAGTAAAAAGAGTAGCTTATAGTTCTGTATTATAAATTTACATTTATTTCATGTCCTTGAGAATCTTTTCGTGCTTGTCTCTGTTTTCTGTGTTTTGAGTAGAATTCAAATGTACCCAGGGAGCATCCATTCTTTACCTTGTTCACTGTGCATTCTGGGCATTCAGAATTTATCAGATTGGTTTCATCTCTAAAGTCACATGTTTTTCTGCTGGGATGTAACTTTATTGCTAACATTTGCTTTTAATTTTCTTTTTGGTTTTCAACATATATGACTGTTTACTAATACTTTCAGGTAAAATATCACTTGCGTTTTGTTGGTGCACAGAGGACCATCTGGTGGCCAGACAAGATAGGCTGGAACACAAGACTTCTCTTTCCTAATCATCCTTCTATACAACCCAGGAATCCAAATTTTCTTGATGGAGGAAGTCCTGGTAAGCAAATCTTCAGCGTGCTTATTCTATCAAAATTATCACAAACTAGTACTGTTATCCTCAGATTGTGAGACCCCCAAAGAGACCACCAGGAACCACAACTCTGATGCAAGCACAGGAGAGTCTTTATTCAGGCTTAAGCCTGGGCCGCAAACCTTCCTGATGCAACAGGATAGGCAAGCATCCCCCGAGGTCTAAGGAATGGAGTTTATAAAGGAAAAAAAAACTACAAGTGGGGATTTCTAAGCCATGGCATTACATGGTTGGGTAAGAGGATAAAAGAATGCTGGCCTTTAAGCTAATTGGGTCACAGAATCTGGTCAAACCTCAAGGAGGGACCACACATTTAAAAGAGAATGGGAATGACTCACGTTTCATTAGCCCACCCTGTCTTTATCTGCTGGCCAAGAATATCTCATGTTTTTTCTCAGAACTCAAGGGTAGGGGGGTCCAAGTTACTCTAAGAGTAACTTAAAATGGAGTTAGCTTAAAATGGAGTCTGAAAAACAAAATGGAGTTTGTTCTGCTACTTTAATCCCTTCAGTACATGTATAAACATATACTTATGTTTAAATATTTACATTCATTTAACAAATGAGAAATGTTTATTCTTCATGGTAATTAAAATTTATATTATAACAGTCTTTTCAGTCTTTACTCTTGATAAACTTAATATATCTTATTGTATCTACCTTCACTTCTCATAGCAGTATAAATATATATTTTTTGTATTATTTATTTTATTTTTTTACATCCCAAATGTTGCCCCCTTCCCAGTCTCCCTAGCAGAGTTCTTCCCCCTATTTTTACTTTCATTCAAAAAGTATTCAGTATATATGTGTATGACTAGGGTTTACTATGATATTTCTGTATACACCTACAGTGTACTACATCAAATCTTGCTTCTTGTCTATCTTCCATAATCATAGTTCAATACTTAGATTAGATTTATTTAATTAAACACAGAGTACACAGTGCTTGTTTGTCTATATGTGTGTATTACTTAACTTAATGTCATCCTGTTATATTCATGTTGCTGCAAAGGACAACATGTGTGTCATTGCACAATGGTTATTGACAACCACACGGATTAAGGCAATTAAAATTTTGAATTCTTTTTATTAATAGCCAGACAAAGAGCAAGCTCTTGCCTCTGAAAAGTCTGGTAGTTCTCACACTGGGTACAGCATTTTTAAAGAAAAAACTATAATTACATCAGTGTTCAAAGTGTACTTTTCTGATTGCTGTGCAAGTTTCTGTAGTATTTTCCAGACTCAGCATAATATGTTTGGACCATGGTCAAGGTTATGGACAGTGTCTGAAGCACTGGTAAGGCAGAGAAGGCTGTTGGTGGGGGTGGAAGCTTAAGAAGTGACTTGGCAGACAGAAACACACACACACACACACACACACAGAGGACCTGGTACAGACCATTCCAAGCCCTGTGCATGCTACCTAGGTCTGTGAATTCATTTGAGCTTTGATCATGTTGATTTATAGTGTCCTCCATCCCCTCTGTATCTTACACTCTTTTTACTTCCTTTTCCATGAAGTTCCTTGAGTCCTGAGGTGAGAGAGTTGATGAAGAAATCTCATTTATAGTTGAGTGTTCAAAGTCACTCAGTATAATATCTGGCTGTGGGTCTCTGCATTTGTTCCCATCTGCTGCAGGAGGAAGCTTCTCTGATGATGGCTGAGCAGGGACTGATCTGTGAGTGTAGTAGGATGTCATAAGGAGACATTTTATCACTGCTTTTTTTTTCTTTTTAGAACAGCAGTATTTTGTTTCACCGTAGGTCTCTGGGTTATCTAATCTCTGGTTCTTGGCCATCTGAATAGTGTTGGGTATAGATTGCATTTCCTGAAGTGGACCTTAAGTCAAATCATATATTAGTTGGTTACTCCGACAAGCTGTATGCCATCATTGCCCTGGAATATCTTGGAGGCAATTCATCACTGTAGATAAGAGGATCTAGTTCTGTCTTGGTGTTTACATTTCTCTTCTGGTAGCATTCAGAACACCTTCCTGTACCAAAGACTATAGAAGTGAAGGATCGTATAGGTACCAGCTCCACTAGTCGATGTTCAATGAATTGTGTGAGTATTGTCTTCAGCCATTGGGGCCTTCCTGCCAGTTTTCAGAGAACAACCTATAGTCTTGGCATCAGCCTAAGTTTGAGGGGCCTCATGGGACCCCTTTGGCCAACAACTCAACTAGACGTAATTCAATCCTGCTACTGGAAGCTTCATTTGGTGAAAAGAGATATCCGGTTTGAACTGTATCTCTCCATTATTTGGCAATTTCATTTAGATCTCTTTTATGTTTGTATAAACTTTAGGGAGTGTTAACTTTTTATACTAACCCTCGAAGGGCCCTTAACTTCATCTGTCTCTCCCTGTATTCACTCTTTTTGTCCACACCCTCCCCACTTGATCGCCCCATCCCAGCACCCTCATCCTCCAGAACTTACATATTCTGTTTCCATTTATTAATAAGATATATCTGTACCCCTATTCCCTTATTCTGTACCTAACCTCTGTTATTGTATGGATTTTAGATTGCTTATTAAAGACTTAGCAATTAACGTATCACTTGTTTTATTGATCTTAGCCATTCTGACAGGTGTAGGATGAGAGCTCAAAGTAGTTTTGATTAGCATTTCCCCAATGACTAAGGATGTTGAACATTTCTTTTAAGTGTTTCTCAGCCATTTGACTTTCCTCTTTAAATAATTCTGTTTAGATCTGTACCCCATTTTTCATTGGTTATTTGTTTTCTTGATACCTAGTTCTTTTTTTAGTTCTTTATATATTTTGGATATTAACCCCTATTGGATGTGTATTGGTAGAAATCATTTTCCATTCTGTAGATTGCTACTTGGTACACATATTGGTGTTTTTTGCTGTGCAAAAGCTTTTCAGTTTTATGACGTTCCATTTATTAGTTATTGATATTACTGCCTGCGCTATTAGTGTTGTGTTCAGAAACTTGTCTCCCGTGCCAATGCATTGAAGGCTATTTCCCACTTTCTCTTCTATCAGGTTCAATGGATCTGGTTTTGTTTTTTTGTTTGTTTTTGTTTTTTGGTTTTTGGTTTTTTTCGGTCTTTCATCCACTTGGAGTTGAATCTTGTACAGGATGATACATATGATGGATATATTTGCATTCTTCATGAAGCCATCCAGTTTGACAGCCCCATTTGTTGAAAATGGTTTCTTTGATCCAGTGTGTCTTTCTGGCTTCTTTACATAAAAAAAAATCACATGGCCATAGGTGTGTGGATTTATGTTTGGGTCTTCAATTCAATTCCATTGATCAACATATCTGTTTTTATGCCAATACTATGCTGTTTGTATTACTCTGTAGTACAGCTTGAAATAAGGGATGGTTATAACTGTAGTAGTTCATTTATCATTCAGGATTGTTTTAGCTATCATTGGTTTTTATGTTTCCATATAAAGTTGAAAATTGTCCTTTTGAGGTCTGTGATAAATTGTGCTGGAATTTTGATGGGAAATGCATTGAATCTGTAGATAGCCTTTTGTAAAATGGTCATTTTTATTATATTAATCCTACAGACCCAAGAACGTGAGAGGTCTATCTTCTATATATCTTCTTCAATTTCTGTTTTTCAAAGACTTGAAATTTTTATCATGGAAGTCTATCAGTGGCTTAGTGTGAGTTATCTCAGCATATTTCATATTATTTGAAGCTATTTTTCAAGGTGTTATTTCCATGATTTCTTTCTCAACTTGTCACTTGTATATAGGAAGGCTACTTTTTTAAAAAAGTTAATCTTGTATCCAGCCACTTTGCTGAAAGTATCTATTAGCTGGAAGAGTGTCTCAGTGCTGTTTTTAGGTTCACTTTTGTACACTATCAAATCATCTGTAAATAATAATACTTTGACTTCTTCCATTCCAATTTGTTTCCCCTTGATCTTCTTCAGTTGTCTTAGTGCTCTAGCTAAAATTTCAAGTACTGTATTGAGTAGATATTGGAGTGAACAACTTCTACTTGTTCCTGATTTTAGTTGAATGTTTTAAGTTTCTCTCTATTTAAGTTGATGTTGGCTATTGGCTTGCTGTAAATTGCATTTATTATGTTTAAGTATGTACCTTGTATCCCTAATTTCTCCAGGACTTTTATTATGAAGGGGTGTTGAATCTTGTCAAAGCCCCTTTCTGCATCTAATGAGATGATCCTATAGTTTTATTTTTTCAGTTATTTTTTCAGTTTGTTTATATGATGGATTACATTTACTGCTTTTTAAAATTTTTTTATTGAATATTTTATTTACATTTCAGATGTAATTCCCTTTCCCCATTTCCCCCCTCCCAGGAACCCCCATCTCATCCCCCCTCTTCCTGCTTCTATGAGGATATGCCCTCACCCACCTTCCCACTCCCACCTCCCCACTCACGATTTTCCTCACACTGGGGCGTCCAGCTTTCACTAGACCAAGGACTTCCTCACCCACCTATTCCTGACAATGTCATCTGCCCCTGTATATACAGCTGGGGCCATGGGTCTCTCCCTATGTGCTCCCAGGCTAGTGTTTTAGACCCTGGGAGCTCTGGTTGGTTGGTATTGTTGCTCTCCCCATGGGGCCACACACCCTTTCAGCTCCTCAGTCTTCTCTCTCACTCCTCCATTGGAAACCCATGATCAGTTCAATGGTTTTCTTATATTGAGTAACCCATGCATCTCTGGAATGAAGTGTACTTGATTATGGCGGATGAGTTTTTTGGAGCATTCTTGGATTTGTCTTACAACTATTTTATTATATGTGTGTGTGTGTGTGTGTGTGTTTATAAGGAAAAATGGTCTGTAATTTTCTTTCTTTGATAAGTCTTTATGTGGTTTGGGTATCATGGTGACTATGGCCTCATAAAATGAATTGGAAATGTTTCTATTTTATAAAACAATTTGAAAGTCTGGTAGAATTGTGCATTAAACTTACCTGGTCCTGAGCTTTTTTGAGGGGGCTGGGTTTATA